CTGATCAGTGACCAGAGACAATCTGCTCATGTGGGTGTATGTATTGATCACTTTTCTGGGCCAGGCCAATCACACGCAGCCCAAAGAGATCCTTACTTCCTTAGCAGTCTGAGAAGAAATAGGGTTGGCAATTTCATGGGACTATACAAAGGGTAGCCCGTCCCCCAAAACCATGAACATTGACAACCCCGTCTCTAGAATCACATATTTCTATTGAAATTTGTTGGGTTATTGTTTAAAACTTACCCATGATTTTTCATCAATTTTCTTAAATTCATCATAACTTTTCAAAATTCACCATACTGAAACACCATTAGAGGTCATTAACATAAATTGTACACATCAGCACAAATGCATTTTTAATGACTAAAATAACCCTGAATGGTAAATCAGCCTTAATAAATAAACATTTATTTTTTACTGGAATACCCTTAAAAGCCCTCCTGGCCTGCTCAAAGTATGTAAGATTTCCACTCGTTGAGAGTCCTTTTGCTCTCAACGTCCAGTGAACTCAACCCTCAACCAGGTATCAACCTTCGTTCCTTTTTCATTCTTTCTCCACCTGTTTCATTTTCTTGTCAGTTTGTATTAAGCTTGGTTCCTGTTTTTTTTCTTCTAGTTCGCATACTCTGTATTTTTTCATTTTTTCTTCAGTTTGTATTAAGTTTCTATCCTTTTTTTTTTTCAGTTCGCATACACTTGAGGTTTTTTCCACTGTCGTCATTGCTCTATCCAACAAGTTAATGGAATGTACAAACAGTTTTGCCTCTTTACAGACCAAGTATTTTGTTACAGTGAAAACAGTATTCTGTTACAGTTTTGCTTCTTTCACTGTTGCCATTGCTGCTGTCTGGTTTTGTTAGACAGCAGCAGCTACTGCTCTTTGCAATCTAAATTAGGCGAGGAGTCTAAGGTTTCTTGGGTAGAAAATGAACAGAATTTGGTTAGATGTAGTAATGATGGGGGCAGAGTGTTTTGTTTATGGTATTCTTTAACAGGTTTCTTGGGTAGGCGAGCAGCCTGCTACTTTTTAACAAACTTCTATGTTGAATGTATTCTTTAACAGGAAACAGATAAGCGACCGGTATACTTGCCACCGATCAAACAATCGCCACCGGAGGTCTCAGATGGTGACTATCATCCTTTGTCCTTTTTGTTCTCACACTTGGTTTCGCTCTGGCTGGTCTCGTTCTCAGACAAACGGTGGAAGAAGCAACGACAATGGTTTTCATGTTCTCAGAAGGTGGAAGAACCAGCGGCAATGGTTTTCACATTCTCAGACGGTGGAAAAATCAGTGGCGATGGTTTTCTCTTTCTCAGACGGTGGAAGAAGCAGCAGCAAATGGCAATAGTTTTCTCTTTAGGCTCAGTTTGGAAGGAGTACAAATACAAATATGTAGAGTAAAAAACCTTATATGTATTTTCTCTGTATATATTTGCATTTGTACTCCTTCAGCCTTAGTTCAAACTATTAGGGTTTTGGGTTGAAGAATGATGAATAATTTTGGGATATTGTAAAATGGGCCGAACATAAGAAAGGTAAAATAGTAAATTAACAATAACCATTAGTCAAGTTAATCTTATCTCACCGGCATGGGGCTCCCTACAAGTTTTGAAAAGTTATAGTGAGTTTAAGGAGACCGGATTTCCTACCCACTCTCTACCCGTGGTGAATGGGAGTCATAAATCTCTCATAATAGAGATGTGTGGCTCGAATTCACGGTGGGTAGAGAGTGGTTAAGAAAAGTGAGTAGGAAATCCCAAGTGGAGTTTAAGAGGATTCATTAAAAGTGATGGTGAGTTTTAGACAATTTCCGAAATTTGTTCCCTAAATCATGTTAACATGCTTTGATAGTATGCCATCCGGCTGCACAGCACGAACATCCAGCCAGAGGCGATATGCTTTCTTGCAAGTAAACACTCTGCATAGACTGTGCAAGCATCGGCATCCTGCACATGTTGAGAACATTTTTTTAGGAATATAACATACATATATATATATATATGTGTGTGTGTGTGTGTGTCTAGGAGATATTCTTGATGTGTGGTTGAATGCTATGTATACAAAGTTTTTGCTTGCACGAAATCCAGGCTCATAACTAGCTCGAATCACATACATACAAACTCTTCTTACATCTCTCCTCACAGGATATTACAAGCATGCCTTGGCAATATCTCCCTAATTATCATTCATGGTACATGGTAGTAGTGTCTTGTGGGTAGGAATGTGAGAAGAATTTATGGGTAGATGATTCGAAGCGGCCACAATGACAAGCCTGGATTATTCTGTTTATCCTACAAATGCAGCATTTCTATCATTACTCATTAGACAATTACTGAATTCTAGCCGAGTTCAGTTCAAGCAGTCATCACTCTTACGTGATCTTCATGAATAATTTTCTTTTATTTAATTAGATATTTTAGATGTTTTGGGGGCTTGATATGGGCCTCACTGTAATATATCGGGTTTCTGGGCTTGGGTTGACTCAAGTCTAGTTGAGCCCAAGCCGACCAGTCTGACCAGCTGCACCGGCCTTTGATCATGATTCAATGAATGATAACCAATTTTTCTTGGTAGCCTTACACATCATCTCTGTTTGAGTTTACCATTTCTTTGGAAAAGAAAAGTCAAAATGATCTAATGAACCTAGCTAGTTTATTGCCTTTTAAGTTCCTAAATCCTATTTTGTCACGGCTTTTTTTGGGCTTTCGTTTTTCTTTTTTCTTACATTCTAATATAACCACAAATTTCCCTCGATTAATATCAAAACATGGCATCAGAATATTGTACTTGAACACGCCGAAATTTATTTAGACTTTCTCCCAACCATGTCCTACACAAAATATTCCCATCGTTTTAAATATTTTATTAAAACCTCTCTAATCAGCCCACATGGCACTGATTTGTTTTTATGACAGTGATCGAACAAACAATAATATTTGTTTAATGTTTATCAGTTGAATAATTATAAGACATTATTTTTTTAAATAAATTTTCAATAATTTATTAGAGATTAAATTATTGTCATTTATTATAAATTAGATTATTAATTTTGTTTAAATTAGGAGTGTTCAAGGATTGGTTCAATTCGGTTGTACGTTGTTTCACCAACCAAATCGATCTGGTTAAGTTGGGAGTTTATCACCCGAAACTGATTGACCATTTGTGAAACCTACCAACTCGGATTGTATTGGTTTAGGTCTATTTGTAGTTTTAGTTTGTTTGTTCAAAAGATTTAAAGTTAAAAATTAAATTTAAATTTAATAAATTATAGTGGTAGTATTAAAAAATAAATTTATGACAAAATATTTTAAACTAAGAAATATAGGAATTTACAACTTTTCCGTATTAAAAAAATTATATATAAAATATAAAATATTAATATATATCTATGGTCAGATCGATTCAATTTTGGTCGGCTTACAAATGGCCAAACCGAAACTGACCTAACTTGGTTGAGTTGTAAAAATGCTAAAAAAAAACGACAGAAAATACTAAAAAGCCAACTAACTCGGATTGGGTTCGATTGGATTGGTTATTAAAAAGTTAAAATATAAAACAGTTATATACTCTTATACATTTCTATTGTTTAACTTTCACTTAACAAACTCCGTACATGTCACGGGTTCTACTAGTACTTGATTAATGTTTATCAGTTAAATAATCATAAGACATCACTTTTTTGTAAATAGTCAAAATATTCATAACATATTTTCTTTCCGTCATCCCATCACACGTCTAATCTACCCATTTACACTTAGGACCTGTTTGGTTTGCAAGAATAAGGATTTGAAATTGAAATAAGAATTGACAATTCCGATTCCAAGAGGGAATTTTAATCCTATTCCCATTCATGGTTGAATGGCACTCCCCTACTTTGAGGGAATGACCATTCCCTCTCTCCCTTGGGAATGAAATCCCATTCCAACCTGATTCCAATTTTCATTTCAATTCCTGTCTGAACCAAACAAACCATGGGAATGGATCATTCAGCTTCTGACTGTAAATCAAACAGACCCTTCATTTCAAGGACAAGAGAGATGTTGTCACCTTAGAAAAAAGATGTTGAATCATAAAATAGAAAGTGGACTTAATTCTTTGTTCTATTCCAAGCAATCCCTTGTTTTATTTTGGCAAAGAAATCCCAAGCAATCCTTTTCAAGAACCTTCAACCAATCTAAAAATCAAGAAAGTATACCAAGTGATTAACATAAGGGTTGAAGTGTTTTTTCTTTTTCTTTTCTTTTGGTTTTTTGGTGAGAATGGTAAGGTAACGTTTCGTTAAGAAATGATGACAAAAGAGATACAAAGGGCCTAATACAAACATGGCTCACCAAACAGAGAGCAGAACCCCAGATGGCAATTGCCACCTAAACCAACCCCAAAGCAAAATCAAGGCCCAAGGTTTGAAGGAAGGCGCAGTCCAAAGCACCACGCCACACTACACCAAAGGACACAACCACCAGAAGTTACTGATGTCTAAAATTCTGAAAAAATGGCATTGCAATTTCAAATTTGCAACAAAGTGCAATTTTGTTTAGTGAATCCTCAACCAGTTTTAATGGTGAATTAACCAACCTTTCAACAGTCCACAAAACGCTTAAAGATGTAGGATGAGATGGAACAGAATTTTCAAATCCCCTACATTCAAAGAGGATTTCAAAGGCCAGATTTTACTAATGGAGAAAATGAAAATCGTACAGTCTACTACATCTAAGCTAATATATCGGCGGGTACCACGTTTCTATCGAGTTACGGAAGCCAACATAACCAGTTTTACTGTAATCGGAGGGGACCCAACCCAGTGTCCTTCATTTCAACTCACAAAGACATCGGATGGAGACATGAAGGAAAGGAAGAAACTCGACACAACAGCTTATAACCCATGAAATTTGACATCTGAGGTGCTCTTTCTTTTATCCTTTTTCCTCCAATTACATGTTATTGTTTAATCTTTAGAAGGTTTCACAATTGGAAGAAGATAATTAATGCATGCAAATGGTGTGAAACGAGGACTTCAGTTGTACATAATGTTAGCTAGATTGAGTAGTCTTGAGACAATACAGAAACCGGAACCTTCTTGTAAGAACCAAAATGAGCAAAATAAACAAGTAAAAGAAGGAAGAAACAGTGCTCCCTAGACAAAATATATTATGCTAAGAACTGATAAAAAACCTCTCAGTCTCAGTTACACTGGAACCGTCCTGTTATTATAACCGGCCTGCTGCTCCAGCTCTGTGACATTTTCATTTTCTTCTTCGTTCTCACCTGACATCTCCTCCAGCGACTTACCCTTTGATTCGGGCACCAACAGTGTAAACACCATGCCAAAGAAGTTGATCACACCGAGCATGACGAGTGAATACCTCACACCGATACCTGGTGGGTACCCTGCATCTGTCTTAGTCTTGTCAGTAGGCTGCGCTGCGTACAGGAACCCAAAAGCTCCTACAATTGCACCGGCCTTCCCTGATGCGGCCGATATACCGTGGCATGTCGACCGTAGCCTAGCCGGGAAGATCTCCGCCGGAACAACAAATGTGGTGGCATTAGGCCCGAAGTTTGCAAAGAAGAAGGTAAGCGAGTACATGATAACGAACCCAATTCGATTTTCCTTCAGGGCCCAGTGATGATAGGGAATGGCCAGTGCGAACATAAACACTGTCATGAAGAAGAAACCCATAAACTGAATTGCAAACCTTCCCATTCGATCGATGAAGGCCACCGTGAACCAGTACCCTGGAACAGTACTGCACAGAGCGATAAGAGTCTGCGCCCTTGCAATTCTATAGACCTCTTCAATGGCGTTCATCGTCTCTGCAGCGGGGATCCACCCAATTGCGCTGAAGATGTCTTTCTGGAACAAGTTCTGACTGTAAAACGCAATGTCCAGCAAGAACCACGTGCTGGTGGTACCGAGCAGATGAAGGCCATGGCGACGAAGAAACTCCTTGGAGAAGAGGCCAAACGAGTTGCTGCTGTCCTCGGTAATGTTCTCGACCTTCTCCTGTTCGGCTACAATCTCAACCTGCAACACTTTGGACATGTCTGACGCAGCCTGCTTCGCATTCTTGGCAACGAGGGCTGTGTATCGAGCTGTCTCCGGCATTTTCATACGCCAATAGTAAGTCAGAGCAGCAGGCAATGCACCGAACATCAGAACAAGGCGCCAGACAAAATCAGCTTGAGCGACAGTTGAGGCAGCGGCATTAATTTTATAAGCCGGAGCGGGGTACTTGGCCTTGAATGCAGCAGAGATGATGATTGCAACCATCCCACCAGCTAAGATCCCAAACCCTTGCATGGCGAAAACGGCAGCAATGAATGCCCCACGAGTCTTCTTGTTGGCATACTCGGACATGATCGTGGCAGAAAGTGGGTAGTCACCGCCGATGCCAAACCCGAGCCAGAAGCGGAAGAAACAGAGGGTCGCCACGACGCCTTTTGGAGTACTTCCAAAGGAAAGCCCTGAAGCGATGGAGCAGATCACCATGAGCATCAGAGTCATGCCATAGACACGCTTACGCCCCATCTTGTCACCCAGCCACCCAAAGAAAAGCTGGCCGGCGAGTGTGCCACAGAATGCGACACCGTTGACGGCGGCCGATACATTAGGAGGCAAGGTCCCCGGCTTAGCTGCACCATCGACATGGTAGTATATTCGGCCAAGCAACTTAGTCACAAGAGAGATGCAGAAAAGATCGTAGGCATCGGTGAAGAAACCCATGCCAGCAATTACGATTGCTGTGAAATGGTACCATTGGGTCTTCGCCTGATCCAGTGCATTAAGCACCTGCAACTGATTCCTAGCCATGGTCACCCAGCCACCCAAAGAAAAGCTGGCCGGTCGAAACCCTTCCCTGCTACTACTGCTACTTAGCTTTTTTTCCTCCTTATTGTCCCAAAAGGCAGAAATACCCTGCAACAGGGGAAGAGAATAACTGATCAGAAATTCAGAACCTACCAATTTTTAAGGGGTTACTGTGCCGAGTTGACTCGGGTCACAGCTTGGCTTTCGTCGTTTTATAATCAGAAGTGATGTTGTGGAAAGACCGGCAACTCGGAAGAAGACAAAAGGATCCCGTACTTCAAAAATGATGCTTGTGGACTGCTTGTGAATGGATACCAGAAAAAAGAAAAACACTAAACAAGTGGATAGTATTTTGAGAGAATGACTGATCAGTAAAAAAACAGAATTTCTTCATTTTTTTTGACTTTGTAGAAGACAAGAAGAAAGATTCCTTCGGAAACAAACAGAGATGGAAGCCTCTGAAAAAGAGAATCCTGAACTTCGAAACTGTAAAATGGCTACAATACCCCGGTTTCACCAGATTGTTACTAGATATAAGTTAGGCTTTTTGGTCATCTTGGGAGGGGAAATCTGTCTTCCCCTGTTTCTCCACAAGTTTTCAGCGAGACAAGTAGAATATTTTCTTTAGAATCGTAACCGAACAAAAGATCAGATTTCTGCAGAGGAAGAACAAATGAAAAAAAGGCAAAAGCGAAACCAAATACAAAAAAGTAATAGAGAAAAACGTTAAAGCTCCATGAAAATCTTCTAGAAGTAGAAAGGCCACCACAAAGGCTCCGTGACCAGAGGAAAAGCACCAGGAAACAACGAGAAACACAACCACAAGAAGAAATATTACAGTGAAGATGATCCACCAACCGAGAAGACTCACGTATATACCGACTACTGACCCCACAACATCAAAAACAAAAAGATCAAGCAAACACAAAAATAAAAACAGATTACATGACGCTAGAACCTAACCCATCTTGACTTATTTTCCATGAAAAAACTTATTTTATTCTTTATTTTATTTTTATTTCATGTAAACAAAAGCGAAAAATTGGTGCTGCAGCTGAGGAAAAGAATTGAAACCTCAGAAATACTAATTTACATGGACTAACATCGTGGAATCAAGGAAAAAAAGGGCGAACCCACATCGAGAAATATCAAGAAATGAGAAAAAGAAAAGGAAGGAAATTACCTAGAAGATCATTGTGTCGGTACTGCAAGGAAAGCAGGAACAGACCAGAGAGAACATCCACAGCTCTAATTTATGGAGTTGATGGGATTTTACTGTGTGATGTAAATATCAAAGTATATTTATGAAGGTTGTCCGTTTCTTGTTTGAATTCGGAAATCAAACCACTAGGTCATGTCATTTTCAGTGGAAATGGGAGAGGAAACGGGGTTTTCTTCTTTCTTAACCCGGGAATCTTGACTCTGGGTGGGGTGTACTGAGGAAGAAAGCTACAGGGAACCAGCTCAGCTTCAATTAATGGCAAGCTTTCGATTTTAAAATCAGGAAACAAAAAGGAATGAATTAATTGCAAGATTCAAGGGATGACTATTCAACGAATCAGTGCTTCCTGTTTTACTCTTTCCTTCGCTTATTATGCCGACTTTTGCGGCAATGCACTCCTCGCATACAGTTATATCTAACAGTCTTATCACTACGGCGAAGTAATAAACAAGAAGGAAAAGAAGATCGTGCAGTTCACTGAGAAAAATACTCGCAGGGATGGAAAGAAAAGATAAAAAAAAAAAAAGATTTGCAATCCAAAATTAAAGAATAGGTAAAGTAAATCGCAGTCTAGACACGAGAGAGAGGATATTGTTTTTTCCCATCTCTAGTGAAAGAAACAATCAAAAGATAATCTTGTTAAGAAACCCAAGACCTTTACATAAACAAAACAACGCCTGGACGTAGAAGAGAAGCAAAGGAAGGAAGAAATTCAACTCCAGATTGAATAATGGCGGTAGAGATTAGAAATTAAGAACAGAAGCTTTGAAAAGCGTTACAAGCAAAAGAAACTATAATAGAATGAAGTAGAAAGAGGGGCGTCTCTCACCTGTTCTGTTTTCTTGAACTTGAATTGCTGCAACAAACTAACAACGGTGATACAGTGAGAGAGAGAGGAGTGAGGAGATCACTCGCTAGCTCTTACGATGTAGAAAAGAGGAGGAGGAGAGATGGATCGAGGAAAAGTATGGGGGTGTGGTGTCCTATTTATGTGCATGGGATTGTGGGTGTAGCGGTTGGGGGAGCATCTTCAGAGGGCATATTCTCTACAGCCTTACATCTCGGTCAACGGTCATATTTTTTAAATCAGCCCCACAAAGAAGCGCCCCACAACATCTCCTGATTATGCCTCACTATATAAGCTGTGAGACGTTGTGGGGCGGCTCTTTGTGGGGAGTGATTTGAACTCTATCATTTCTCTGCCGTTGCAAAATTATATATCATCCGAGTTCTGACCTCAGCCTTGTCTTCTTGACTTGCCAATTACGATGACAAGTCAAACAGAAAAAACCTTAGGTGGAGTGGGGAGTAGGCTGCATCGAGAGTATTTGTGTCATTTCCTATTTTTTTCATCGTCTGCCTCGCCCACCCTCGGTTGTCGGTTGTCGCCCGATCCGATTGGCATTCACATTCAGTTCACGGAGAGCTGACGCCGATAGGATTATATTCCACTTGCGCCGCACCGCACACCTTTTCTACACCACGCCATGTGTGAGTGTGGAGTGTACACACTTCACAATATGGGAAACTGTCTAAAAACTTACCATAACTTCTCACCATTTTTGTTAAATTCTTCTTAACTTTTTAAAATGTCTAAAATTCATCATGTAACTAATTTGACGTCAAACATATTAATAATTATTAATATATTACCATTTTACCCTTTATAGAAAAATATAAAATATATACATATATTTTAATATTTTAACTAAAAAGATATGAAAAAAAGAAAAAATATATTTTTAAATTATAGAAATTATGGAAATTGAAAAAAATCAGAAAATACCAAAAATTATAGAAAAACACAGAAACTGCAAATAAATAACAAAAAAATACAAGAAAATTTATAGATTGTTGAAAATAGAAAAATGTAAAAAAAAATTATAAAAAATATTGTAAATTATAACAAAACATTAAAAATTCAAAAAAAAAGAAAATTGAAAACTGAAAAAGACAAAAAAACTCAAAAAATATAAAGATTGGATAAAAACAAAAATTGCAAATATACATAAAATGATAAAAAATATATAGAAAAATAATAAATTGTAGAAATCAAGAACATGATATTTTTTCAAAAAAAAAGACAATTACAAAAAATACATAAAGTGATAAAATTTATACACACACACATATTAAACATATATATAAATTTTAGAAAAAATAAAAATTTCAGACAAATTAATAAATGATAAAAATTTATGAAAATATTTTTGCATACATTTATGAAGCCTTCAATGGAGATTTACATTCTAGATTCAAGTTGCAAAAATTTACGATACATTACAAATATTTCAAAACACTAGAAATCCTTGAAATTTTTTATCATTGTATTTGTTCCTCTACATCTTCAAACCAGAAATATGAGTGGTGGTGCGGAGGTGGCATTCAAACAATAGATCTGAGAGACAGTGGTGGTGGTGTGGTGCCCACCTACTATAGATCTGAGTGATAGAGGGTGGTGTGACATTTAAGAGATCTGAGTGAAGAGAGGGCAGTGCAACACCCACCTACTGTAGATCTGAGCAAAGAGAGGGTTGTGCGGCGATCACCTACTATAAATCTGAGCGAGGGAGGGTGGTGCGGCATCTCAAAGACCTAAGCAAAGAGAGGGCAGAGTGGCACCCATCTATTATAGATTTGAGCGAGAGCTGGTGGTGTGACGTCTACCTCGGAGATTTGGAGACTTGAACGAAGAGAGAGAGACAATGAGCGGCAATGCACCATTTGGAGATCTGAGCGAAGAGAAAGAGAGAGAGAGAGAGAGAGAGTGCAGAGGGTGGTGCGATGTCTACCATGGAGATTTAGAGACCTGAGCAAAGAGAGAGAGAGATAGTGAGTGGCGGTGCGGCATCTAGAGATCTGAGCGAAGAGAAAGAGAGAGAGAGATGGAGCAGGGGGTGGTGCAATGTCTACCATGGAGATCTGGAGGCCTAAGCAAAGAGAGAGAGACAGTGAGTGGCAGTGAGGCATCTGGAAACCCGAGTTAAGAGAGAGAGAGAGTTGAGGGCTGGAAGTTCTGAGTGACCAAGGAAGAGTGAAGATCGGCAAAATGAGAGAGAGAGAGAGAGAGAGAGAGAGAGAGAGAGAGAGAGAACCCTGAATGAGCCTTTTTTTCTCTAATTTTCCAGTCAGGGGCAATTTGGTCATGAGAATTGTATTTATGCTGACATGGACAACTTCTGTTAGTGAATATTAAGGGTGCTTTAACGGAAGGTGAGTTTTGGAAAATAAAAAGTCACTAACATGGTGAACTTTAGACATTTTGAAAAGTTATGGTGAGTTTAAGAGAAATATGAAAAATCATGGTGAGTTTTGGATAATTTCCCTTACAATATTGTCCCCCTAAAGCCATTAAAATTATGCAATTGTCCCTACATAACCTACCGACCTACCCCGTCCATTTGCATCTAATATAATATACCAATTCATTGAAATTTTTAGTAAAGTAATATGTAATAGCAATTAATAATAAATATTTACCAAAAAAAAGACCCCGCCAAATTGCCCACCCCAACCGAACGAACCAAATGAACCAGGTTTGTAAATATATTACGGGTTTTATTTGTTTTGTTAGTGCCCGTTTGTCGGGGCCGGCTTTTATGCAGCGGCTACAGCCGATCTTTTCGGTTGTTGAGGGACAAATGAAGTAGAGCTGTTGCATCATTTGCATGAATAGAAATATACATACATGAATACTCGTACAGCAGCTTGCCTAATTATATTAATGGTCCCATCTTGTTTAGATCCTACCTGTACCGGATGAACCGTGTAACCTACTACCAGATGAACCGTATGATAAGATAAAATTAAAGCAACAACCATCTTATTCCATATTCTTTACCCATTTATATCTATAATAATAAAGAGAGGATTGGAATAAATATGAAAAAGAGAGGGTAAGAGTAAGAGTCCTCTCATCTCATTACTCAAAGGGACCTTCTCCTTTCATTTTTCATATATGTTGTTTATTTATTTTTAAATAAAAAACAAAAATCGTAATAATAAAATCTTATTGTGTTTTCATTGTGTTGGGAAGATAAGATTGTGCGATCTCTGAAAGTAGAAAGTGAACAAACAAAATGGAGAAGACAAATAAATGGATGAGTTTAGGCTCAGTTTGGAAGGAGTATAATACAAAAATATCTAGGGTGCAAAACCTTGTATTCTGTATGTATTTGCACTGTATATATTTGTATTTGTACTCCTTCCCAACTAAGGTGGCCTTTGATAACACTTTTCATACTTCTGAAATCTGAAAATCTTGTTTTAAGACGCCACATATGTTTGGGTTGAGTCTGAAAATTCAGAACTGAAATGCATTTTTAGATATGAATTTGTAAGAGGTAGGCCAATGACTTAATGCGCTCAAACGTTTTTTAGACCGCGTTAAAAGACAAAAATGCCCATCCTTGATTTCCCTCTCTCTCCCTTGTCTTCTAGCCACCATCGCTACAACTCTCAATAGTGGTGTTTCCCTCTCTCTCTCTCTCTCTCTCTCTCTCTCTCTCTCTCCCCTTGTCTTCCTGCCACTGCCACTGCAACTCTCAACAACGGTGTTTTCCCCTCCCTCTCCTTCTCTCTCTCTCTCTCTCTCTCTCTCTCTCTCTCTCTCCCTGTCTTCCTACCACCGTTGCTACAACTCTCAAAAGCAACATTCGAATTTTATTCTAATGATTTATTACTATTTTAATTCTTAATGATTTATTTTTAATTTTTATTTGTATTAATTATTAATTATATGTATTTACAATTTTATTCTTATTTTAATAAATTATTTTTTACAATTTTTATTTATATTAATTATTAATTATTTTATTTTTTAAATAGTTTAATGGGTTTAATTTAATAATTTGATAATTATCTAATATTTTTCATTCATTCATGGACGTTATTACTATTTTCTTTATTATTTTAACTTTTAATAATGTATTTTTAATTTATAAATTTATATTTTTTCAATTTTATTCTTATTTTATTAATTTTCTATTTTTTATAATTTATCAAAATTTGTACATGTTTTTCAATATTATTTTGATTTTAATAAATTATATTTTACGAAATAGTACAAAATGAACTCAAAATTACAAAATAGTATGTTCTAGGGGTAAAATAGTAAAATTAAGGAATTTCAGATGTTGATGGTTTGATCCAAAACAAACAACCTTCTCTGTTAGAGCCTCTAAAAATTTGAAAAGTATCTATGTCTCTTTTCAGATTTCAAATGCCATTAATATCTTTTTAACTTTTCATATTTTCAGATTTATCAAATGCCACCTAAGCCATAAGGGAAAAAATAAGGGTTACAAATCCAAGAAACTTCTACTATCTTTTTCAATGGTGAGATTGTAACATCTTTGCTTTTCATGAGAAGATGACACAACAAGATGATGAATTGTTCTTCTTCTCTATTTAGAGGATACCCTTAGTGTTCTCTCATTAATACAAGATTACACACACACACACATGCTTGGTTGAATAGAAGGTGGAGTTTTTACTGAGATGGCTTTGAATTCATCTTAGGTGGTGGACAAGGCAATGTAGACTTCCTTGAATCCATCCAACACATGCTCGGCTATTTGAGCTCGGCTTGTAGAAATAGTATTAGGCTCGAGCTTGAGCTCGAGCTCAATTCGAGCTAGATACTTGAGCTTGAGCTCGGCTCGGTTCATAGCTCACAAGTTTGATCTCGGCTTGGCTCGAGCTCGACTATAAGCCAAGTTTTTTTTTGAAAAATAAAAATTGTATTTATAAAATAATTTTTTTATTTTTTAGACAAAAAATTAAGAATTACAAAAATTATTTAATATTATATATACAAAAGATAATTATAAAAAGTATTTACTATTATACAAATATATGTATGTAGTATATATATAATAATAAAAATGACTTATTTAATACTAGGCTTACGAGCCTCACGAGCCGAGCCTCATTGGGCTCGAAGCTCGGTTTAAACCGAGTCGAGCCAAGCTCGTAGCTCGTGAAAGGCTTGGTTCATGGTCACCCCTAATCTTGGAGGTTCCTTGGAGTTATCTAAGAAGCCATTTCACTACCCAATGTTCTTTGCTTGGGTTTGTGCTTACCACACCAAGCCTAGTGTTCTTAGGGATGATCATTTATGACAGACCATCTTGGCCATGCCTACAAATTTTCAGGCTTAGGTAACTATTTTCTTCTAGGGTTAATCCTAGCTTAGACCTACACCAAGCCCACACGTAGTGCATATAATTAGGTAAATGTTATATATAATATTAAAATTCCAAACCATGACCCAGATCAATCCAACCTACAAATTTTAGGGATTGGGTAACTATTTTCTTTTGGGCTAGGCCTAGATCGGATCCATACCAAACCCAAGCATAATGCAGATGAGGCCCATGCAAAACAACACTTAACCTTAACTTGGATGTTATATACATATATGGAAAATATTAAATATAAAATTTAGATAGAAATTATTTATTTATTTTTCTATAATTGACTGAAATGGGCAAGCATGTCCTTGTCCCATGCCCAAACAAACATTATGAAGCTTGGGGTGTGGGCTAGGTTGGGCATGGGTTGGGCACGTATAATTAAAATCATGTTGACACACTTCCAAAATCCGATATGAGAATTTTAATTTTTTTGGTTCATTAATGAAGGGTAGCCTATCTCCCATACCATAACCCTCAAACCCTTGGTGGTAGTGGGATTCAATCCCAAGTCTCTCCTAGAACAAGCCAATGGTTATACCAATTGAACCACCCATCAGTTGGGTGGCTCAGGATCAACTTGATCCATTTTATCTATACTTGTACTTTAATTTCATGGGCTCCTTCAGCATCAATTTCACTTAACAAAACATGTTCATTGCACGGGTCCCAACTAATATCTAACATTATTAATAATTACAATTAAATCCCATTGATTAAATATATGAAAAATAATTTTAACTATAAAAGACCTATACTTTTAAAACTGGTGGAAAATGAAACCAATTTATTTTAGGTGGTGGCTAAGAAATTAAACCATTTGGGACAGATAAGTCAACCCATGATTCCACAATTATATAATAAAATATTAAAATAGATGAAATAAAAAAATATAAAAAATTATAGAAAATTTTGGACACATCATTAATATTATGTATTTGTCATATTAAACACAAAAGTGTGATAAATGAGAAATGTTGCTATCAATAATGGAAACAGATTAACACAGAATACACAAATTAAAACACACTTAGAGATGAAACAATTTTTTTCTTAATAACAATTTAATGTCAAATGGTTAAATCTATGATGTCATTGTAAAATAATATTTTTAAAAAATAGAAAAATACAAAGAATTATGAATAAGTGTAATGAATAAGAATTATTTTTGTTAATAGCATAAATGAAAAATAAAATTTCAAACCAATCTGAAAAAGAAATTGTTTTCCTATTTGGGTGGCGAGTCAATGAGCCAACCTTCTAGATCAAATGGATTAACCCATGATTTCATAATTAAATAATAACTAAAACACAAAAATATAAAAAATACAAAAAAAAAGAAAATTGTAGAAAACACTTGAGCATATATCTAATTAATATTTTATTCTTGGTTCAAAGTATCGATATATTGGATATGTACAAAACATTTGAGCACATCCAAAGTTTCCAACATACAATATTGTTTTCTGTTTTTAATTGTTTTCAATTATTACATTTACAAATAAATGCAATATAGTGTGAAAAATAATCTCTCTTTACTAATGACAGAAACAAAATACAAAACTTAAAATTGATAAAAAAACACTTTTTCATCCAAGTTGTGGGTCAATAAATCAATTGTCTAGATCAAATGGGTTAACTTATAATGTCATAAATAATTACAAAAATTAAAACTAGACATAAAGACAATAAGTTGTAAAAAAGTACAGAAATTTTGTAGAAAAATATGGGCACATCTCTAATATTATATATTTACTATATTAAAAAGATAAAAATGATAAATAAAATTGCTTTTACTAATAATGTAAATTGAATAAAAATTAATAAAAAAGGAAATCAATGTCTAACTGTCGTCCCACTAATCAAGTTAAACAATTCAGTGGTTCAATTAGCTAGGAACCATATTATTGATGAAGTCAATGGTTTTTTATAGGCAAGCAATTTTGTGGTAAATGGGCTCAAAATTATAGTCAAATGATGGATAAACCAATCTAACCAATTAATATAACTAGGGGATAAACAAAACACTAATAGAAAACCAATGTTCTAAAAATCAATTAGAATTGCATCTCCCTCTTTGTCAAACATGTCAACTTGCAATTTCATAAACTAAATAATAAAAATAAAAACATAGAAAATATTGTAAAATTTATAAAAAATTTGAGCATGTCTTTAATATTATATATTCATCATACTAAACAAAAATATGTGTGAAAATGAAAAGTTTTGTTATGAATGATGAAAATGGCTAAAATACAAAAAGAATAAGAAAATAAAGAAAATTAATGTCTAATCCATGGTCCATTGACTAGGTCAAATATGTTAGCAATTCAACAATTCACACCAAATTAATTGGTTTAAATTCCAAATACTCAAATCGAATATAAGTATATCCAAATTTATTTATTAATATTTGAATTCTAGTAAGATCTTTTCCATCATATTTAGGATTTAGTCACTAAATATGTACAAACCCATTTTAGGAGAGAAATTGCACACAAAAAAATTACAGGAAGGGGTGTAATGAGGAGAGTAACAATGGTTTAAAATGTACGGCATACCCGAGGAATGCCAACGGTGTGCTGGACCTGTGGAAGAAGTGTGAAAGGAGAAAGAGGGGTTGGAGCTCACCATTGCAGCTAGGGTTTCGAGGCATGGTCAATCGAGCAAGTGAGAAAAACAAATTGAGTGAAAATCCAAAGTTAAGAGTCCAAACTCATCTCTTTATACTTTTGGGATTCAACTCTTATTGGTAGGGCTGTTCATAAGAAGGTCCAACCCAACCAAACCGACCAACCCGGACCGGCCCAACCTGAGTCGGCCGGGTTTTCATCAGCACAGGTCGGTTTCGGGTTGTGCAAATTCCTAAACCGATGATTCGGGTTGGTTTTGGTTTTCACACAAGAAAACCGAAACCGACCCGAACTGAACCGACTTAGTTCCTAGTTCAAACATGAAGTTCCAAAGCCCATTAGGCCACCTAGTTTTTGAATGGTTGCAAGAAACTTTGGATTAGTGAATAGTGATTAATGAACAACTTTTGTGATTAATTTTTCATTTAAATTTTATCATAGGAGATGGCTTAAATGATGTTCAATTTATGACTGTTTTTAAAATTAGCAAGATTTTATCACAGGGATGAACTTAGAACCGAAACCGACCCAAATCGACACAACCTGACTCAAACCAACCAGGTCGGTTTTGCTTAACACTGGGTCGGTTTCGATTTCTATGTTAGGTAACCCGACTAGGTCAGGTCGGTTGGAAAAACTGCAGTAAACCGACCCAACCCGACCCGTGAACAGCCCTACTTATTGGGCTTTTTCTTGTGTATTTTGGCTTCCCAAAGTAAGCACAACCAAGCAATAAAAGCAAAAGTTATCCAAAATGCCAAATTAATATATTAGCTTTTACCTTAGACATATATAATAAGTTAATATAAATATAAAACATTGAATTTGTTAATCATAAACTTTATACAAGAATACATGATACCTACAAAAGTACACATACATATAAAAAACTTAAATAATTAAAAAATTGACCATGCCTACAATATTATTATATTTTCATCATACTAAATAAAAATGAGTATGGTAAATGAGAATTTTGTTATTAATGATTGAAATGGCAAAAAAACACACATAAAAAGGGATTTAATGTCTAACTTGTGACCCATTGATTTGGTCAAAAGGTTCAATGGATTACTTGGTTGAGTTAATGTTTTAGGGGTGAAAATCTCTGTGTGCTTATCTCTATCATCAATTAATGGGGAAAGGATATGGTGATTGGCATTTAATAAGTTAGGGGTTCCTCTTGAAATGAGTTAGTATTTTCTGTTTAGACACAAAAGTCTTTGGAATGCCATAGGACTCCTTTGTTCTTCAATTTCATTTAACAAAGAAACATGATAGAACTCTTTGAAACACAAGTAGATTTGAATTTTTAGTTTGCAATGCAAAGTTACGATCGTTTTATTAAGGCTGCATTTGTTTTCAGTGTAAATGCCACCGGTTTAAATTTGATTGCGTTTGTTTTCAGTGTAAACCCATCAGTTAATTTTTCATCGATAATCGATGTAAATAATGTATCGATTTTATCGATGTACTTCTACATGACTATCACGCTTAAAAATGTTCCAACGGTTCACTAAAATTTTAAACTCATCAGTACATCCATGAAGTTTACACTGAAACCAAACGCACCCGAGAATCACAAACATGATGCTGATCTTGAGTTTGTAATCCGAATTGAATTAGGAAGCTTCCTTCTTGATTAGATATGGTGTTTTAGAAAATTTAGACCCAATTAGGAGTTTACTATTTTAGTTGATAAGTTTCTTATTACTTAAGAAATCTTCTTCATCCCAAGCTTTTCCGTTCTGTGTCATATATTTTTTTAGAAAATGTAACAAACAATGTGAATTCTTAAAAGTAATACAAAGAAAAGATTATAGATACAAAGTATAACAACAGAAGCCCAAGCTAAAGGAAAAGAAAAACATACAAGACCCTATTTCCTAAGAAAGCAAGCACAAACTGGTACTCAAAACAAAGTTAACGCAGACCCCAAACCAAATGACAACAACACTCACAACTGCGCTCTCACACCATGTAGAATTAAATACCAAAAAAAAGAAGAAAAGAACATCATGTATATTAAGGAAATGATGACAGTGTTATAGATACAGAGAGCAATGTAGTACTGTACAACAGCTAAACTTGGATGGTACTGTTGTTATTGTGACCTGGCTGTAGCTCTGTGCTCGGCTCAGCTTCTTCCTCGTACTCACCTGATAACTCTTCCAGCGATTTGCCCTTGGCTTCCGGTACCAACAGCGTAAATAACATCCCACCGAAGTTTATGACTCCCAGCATGATGAGTGAGTTCTTGACACCGATACCAGGTGGGTACCCCGCATCCGTCTTGGTCTTGTCCCGGCTCTGCGCCGCGTATAAGAACCCAAATGCCCCGACTATAGCTCCGGCCTTGCCCGCTGCTGCCGATATACCGTGACATGTTGACCTTAACCTGGCCGGAAATATCTCCGCCGGCACGATGAATGTGGTGGCATTCGGTCCGAAGTTGGCAAAGAAGAAGGTAAGGGAATAAACTATCACGAACCCAATCCGGTGCTCCTTCTGGATCCAGTTATTGTATGGAATGGCCAGCACAAACATGAAGACTGTCATGAAGAAGAAACCCATCAGTTGAATCGCAAACCTCCCCATGCGCTCGATAAAAAACACGGTAAACCAGTATCCGGGGACAGTGCTGCAGAGTGCAATCAGTGTCTGTGCCTTTGCAATTCTGAACACTTCTTCGATTGCGTTCATTGTATCTGCTTTGGGAATCCACCCAATCGCAGAGAAGATGTCTTTCTGGAACAGGTTCTGGCTATAAAACGCAATGTCGAGCAAGAACCAAGTGCTGGTGGTTCCCAGCAGATGAAGGCCATGGCGACGAGCAAACTCCCAGGAGAACAAACCGAACTGGTGGCTTCGTTTCTGCGCCATCACCTCGATCTTCTCCTGTTCAACGTCGATATCAACCTGAAGGACCTTGGACATGTCAGCTGCAGCTTTTTTGGCGTTCATGGCAACGAGGGCAGTGTAACGGGCAGTCTCAGGCATCTTCATACGCCAGTAGTATGTCAAAGCTGCTGGTACAGCACCGAACATTACAATAATACGCCATATGTAATCAGCTTGTGGGACTGTCGAAGCAAGTGGATCAACTCTGTAAGCCGGGGCGGGGAACTTGGCTTTGAAAGCCGCGGAGACGATGATGGCTACAATCCCACCAGCTAAAATTCCAAAACCCTGCATGGCGAAGACAGCAGCAATGAAAGCACCACGAGTATCCTTGTTGGCGTACTCAGACATGATGGTAGCAGAGAGTGGATAATCACCACCGACGCCAAAGCCGAGCCAGAAGCGGAAGAAGCAGAGGGTAGCAATAACGGCTTTTGGGTCCTTTCCCAGGGAAAGCCCGGAAGCTATGGAACAGACAACCATAAGAATAAGGGTGAGGCCGTAGACACGCTTACGTCCCATCTTATCGCCAAGCCATCCGAAGAAGAGCTGGCCGGCAAGGGTTCCACAGAGAGCGACGCCATTGACAGCTGCCGCCACATTCGGAGGCAGTGTGCCGGGCTTCGGTGCGCCATCAACGTGATAGTAGATCCGTCCCAGCAACTTGGTGACGAGAGAAATGCAGAAAAGATCGTAGGCATCGGTGAAGAAGCCCATACCGGCGATCACAATGGCTGTAAAGTGATACCATTGCGTCTTTGCTACATCAAGTGCATTAAGCACCTGCAAACCCATGGTTGGCTAGTTACCAACCCTAGCCTTTTCTTTTTCCGGTCCTCCCTACTCCCTTGTCCCTTCTCCTCCGCTACGGCGCCAAAGGCGCTATTACTATACTACGACTACCGACAGAAGAAATGCATCCATCTGCAAATTCGTTAACCAACAATATGAACATCATCAGAAACAATTCAACATACAAAATCGATCACTTCGGCTTGATTTTTTCACTTTTCTTTGTGTTACAGTTGAAAGTTTTTGTCTTTACACTTAAAATTGTTATATTCATATACATAAATGCAAATTAAAATACATAAATATATACGGATTTTGAGTGGCCCAAGATTTCAACCCTAACCCACTTCCCAAAAAAAAAAAGACTTCAACCCTAACTCAATCCCCGCCCAATTTAGAAGTTAGTTGGGTTCCTTTATTCAACTGTAGTCGTAGCTAGAATCTTAATCCAACCCAATTCGATCGGGCTAAACTGGTCCAAATTGCACCTCTAATCTCTAGCCAAATTAGTCCCATACTCCCATCCATATTGGGTTTTACTTTTATATCTAAAAGTAGTAGACATCCAAAGCGTCGGGATCTCCTGGTTTGTATTAGTGGTATTGTCGTTGGATCTTCAACCGGAATTCATTTGTAATTCACAACAGATCCGAGTGTCCTAGAGAACCCAATTCCAAAACTGGAATTGAATGGTTAATTTAATGAGTTGAAAACTGAAGTAGCTTAAAAGGTAGAGCGAGAGAGAGAGAGAGAGAAAGAGAGAGAGAGTCTTTGACAGGCCGCTGATTTGAGAGAATCAAAGAGCCAGAATGAGCCATCAAGCTATGTAGAAATAAATCAATAATCTTAAAAACAGGAATCAATATCGAACGGCTCAAGCTCCGACATATGGTCCCTAGGTTGGAACTTGGAAGAAACAGTGTTCCAGCTTTTTGGACAAGAGCCATCAAGGGTTCAAATAGGAAAAGAAAAGTAGAAGAAGAAAAGTTAATAAAAAAAAGTAGAATAAAGTTAGTAGGAAAGGAAAAGAGGAAGAAAGTAAAGAAATTCAAATGGCGGGCTTGACATACAAATTAATGCAAAATGTTGAATAAAGACAACCTCAACTAGTATTCAAATATGTGAAGCAGTAAAAGCTTAATTACAGGGTTATCTGATCAGACAGTGAATAATGCATCAATTTAGTCTTTAATTAACAACTCACCGACCAGAGCCTTGCAAGTAAAAGTCCAGCGAGAGAGAGAAACATCAACAACAGAGACAGAGGCAGAGTCCCCAGAAGCAAAGTGAAGAAGGAAAAGAAAGGACAAGACTCCATATAGAAGTAGGTTGTTGCTATATAAGCACTCTACGTCTCTACCCCAATGGAATATGCCCCCCAGGCCTCGGCATATTCATTCATTCTTTCCCCCCCTATTCCCCTTGTTTTTGTGTTTTCCTGTTTACCAGCATTTTGCTTGCTTGTCATTGATACTTTAATTCATTATCAAATCAACGACAACATCAGAGAAGACCCGTTCAGCTAATCAGCTTCTTTTGTTCATCAGTCAAACTAACCCTAGCTCTGGGTATACACTCTTTGCGTAAGGGTAGCTTAGTCAATTCGATATTACTCCTTGTCATTCTCTATAGGGACGGACACCAGCTTGCTTTGGCCACACGCGACAATATGCAAAATTTGATTAAGATACAATTAAAGGGGCTTCGACAAAGGGGTCATATTGGTGGGTATGATGTATCAAATAATACACATTGATATACTTATCAACATTTTCGACCTAACATGTCAAGACGTACGGACATCCCAAATTTTACACATTTATTCTTTTTTCTTGCCACTCTTTCTCTACTGCCTTCAACCTGATGTTCTGGATGTGGATGATCCAAAATTCGATCTAATCTACAATTCAACTACGGTGTGTATATAGGTATAAGCTTTTAACAGTGAGGTAGGTTTCCTGGTAATCTGATCCAGTTTGTACTCTATTGATGTGGATGATGGGACGATGAAACAAACACTTCATTCCTTTAACTTGAGGGTCCCTTAAAAGATGGAGGTGATTGGTCAAAGCCTTCCGGTATCATATATTTCCGGCAGCATATATTCTTTTTCTTTTTCATAACAAACTAACACCGAGTCCTACACTCCTCAATGGGAAGTCAAAAAAGAAGGGAATCAGCCAATCAGTGATCTACTTATTCTACTGTATACATAATTTGTTAAATACTCTATCATGAGTAAATACACGACAATACGTATGAACATGGGGCCCACACCACATGTGGAACACTTGTATGTTCTTGATTGGTTACATAGCTTGTTTTACATGCCGATGTTCGCAGCAGATCCTGTCAAAACCCACATGCCTTTTGATGGTGTGCAATCCGGCCGGTCCTAACTGTCAACGACCTTGCCTCTGACTGGAGCAACAGGGAGCCTGAAACGGAGAAGATGAGGAATCTCTGGGGAGGAACCCGGTGAGATTGCTCTGAAGCTCAAGTTAGTATTCTCTCAAAGGCAAGATAAAACCAGATGGCGCAAAGTTCGCATACCTTGTTCTTGGGGGGTAGGGACCCTTTTATAACCACTTCGAGCACTCACTCCTAAGCTTCTGTCAGGTCGGGTATGATTATCTCTGCGCTCCTGCCAGTTCGGGTGTCATCGCCTCTGCTGGGGCAGAGCCGCCACTGCTCTCTTTGTTGGAGCCGTCTCCGTAACTGGAGATGACGGTGGCAGGTGGCGGTGGTAGGTGGCCGTTGAAGTGCGGCTATCAAGCATCAGATCCCAAGTCAGTCAGGTGCACCGCCCCTGGATACGGACTTCCTCGGTGTCAGGCATGGTACAGTTGTTCAGTTCAGCGTCCTGGAGGCGAAGTGTTGGAGTGGTGAGCGAGGTGAAGTCCTGAGTTCGGATAGAGGTGTGTCCCGAACTGCCATGGGACAGGCCAGTTCGGGTTGTAGCCCTTTGTGTTTATAAGGCTCGGGGCCTAAGGGAGAACTCGGGCTCCTTGCGGGGAGTTCGGGCTCCTTGTAGGGAGTACGGACCGCTAGTTCCTCCTTTCGGAGCTCGCGCCTCGGGCGTGCTGTCGTGCCGGTTGTTGCCTTTGCCACGTGTTGGTGATTACGAGGTCGGGCCAAATCTTCCTTCATCAATTGCCCCCCACTCCTCGCGTTAAGGGACTTGACCTGTCGCGGGGAGTTCGCGACGTGGTAGGTGGATTTGTCCCGTACTTCGAACTGTTTGACTGATAGCGCGAAGTACGCGTTCGTCAGGATTTTTCCAGGTTTCTCGAGCGCCAAAAAGACGGGAAACACGCCAATCTGTCTATGAATGCTGACAGACATGACGGCGCGCGTTTATTTCAAAATTCAAAAAGTGCGCCGCTGGGAGACGTGACAGCGGGCGTCTTTTCAAATTTGAAAAAACGCGCCATTGCCGCCTTTAATGCGAGGAGATGTGCGCTGTCGCTCATTCAGTTTCAAAAAGACATGCGGCCAATCACGTCTCGGTCTCAGGAGACGTGCGGCCAGTCACGTCTCGGTCTCTGGAGACGTGCGGTCAGCGCGACTGCGAACCATTGGATTGTCTTTGATCTGAGCTGTTTATTCTCGATTACTGTGGGTATAAATAGTGGGGGACCCCAGTCGTTGTCACTATCATGCGTTTTGCTTCTTGAGCTCGCGTCCTAGTTTCAGCTCGCGTCCAAGCTTCTAGCTCGCGTTCACGTTCCTGTAGCCCGTTTGCTTTTTTTCGGGTGAGTACTTTCTTATAATCCTTATTCTCCTTCCAATGTCTAGCTCGGATAGCTCAGACAGTTCTTCAAGGGAGTCAGATGCAGGTTCTACGAATCGACTTGCATCCCCCGGCAGTCCTAGTGAACCTAGGTAGAACTCGAGGAAGAGTTCGAACCCGTAAGACGAGTCGCCTCGGGTAGTTTGGCGTCCTCCTCTCGTCGAGGTCGGACGTTGGACAAGTTTGGGCCTTCGACCATGACGCTTGAGGGGCTTCACTCCCTTATTACCCAGTTCAACTTGCCTAGGGAGTACACCTACTTCATACCCTCGGGCAGTTTCCCTTGGGAACATAGTCCTGATGAGATCGTGATATTCCGGGAGCAACTCGTTGCTGGGTTGCGCCTTCCTTCAGTGTTACAGTCGGCCAGCTTCACCCGAACTCTATTCGTAACTTGGTAGGGACAATCTCCCTGTTTTGCAAACAGGTCTTGCCTTTAGACCTAGAGATCTTCTCCTCCATTTTAATGTTTAAGAAGCAAGCGGGTCCCCATCCCGGGCGTAGGCGGGCGTATTACCTGTCTCCTCGCCCGGGTTTTAAGCTTTTACACAAACTTCCCAACAAGGTCCCGACGTGGAAACGGGACTACTTCGGGGTGCGAAGTGCATTGGGGTGGCCATTCCAAACTGGGTGGGGGATGGCTGCCCCTGACGCCGGTGTTACGCTTGATAAGGAGATGGCGAAGGGTCTTCGGCAATGAGCGCGGCTTGGGATAAAATGCCATCATTATCTGACGGAGGCCAAGCTCATTGAGGTCGGTCTGAGTTCGGGTAGGTTCCTTACTCAGAGGTTTGTCTTTTGTTTTGCTCTGTTCTTTCGTTTTTTCTGATGCCGAGCTCTTTTTGTAGGTGTGATGGACTCAGAGAAGACTCATGGTGGGAACCTGTTTCACGCCATGAAGAGGATGAAACGAGTCGCCAAATGGACTCGTGCCGAGCTGCCCCGAGATGCGGAGCCTGAGGTGCCAGACTAGCCGTCAGTGGATCCGCCGATGGAGCCCGAGATGGCCCCTCCAATGCAAGAAGCGGCAGGGGCCCCTTATGTCGAGGCTACTTACACAGGGGCTCCTGCTTACTCTGGGTCTGCTTATACGCAAGTTGGGCCCTCAGGCTCGGGAGCCCAAGGCGAGTTCAGGAGCGTGTTGTCGCCCAACCACACTCTTCAGAAGAGTAGGGAGGCCATTTACCCTGAGGAGGTCGCGGCATGGACCGATCTTCCTTTGAACCAGGTGGCTTGTCGTGCTGCCACTCATGCCATGGTGGTAAGTCAGCAACTTCTTTGTCGGGCTCTGTGCTTTCATCTGTTGCTATCGTTCTTTTGATCATTTGTTATTTCTCCTTTTGGTAGGTGAATTCTTCTATTCATGCCTTGGCGGCCCAAGTAGAAAGGAGGTCGAGGCAGGCGCGAGCTGCCGAAGAGGCTTCCCGTGCTGTCGAGGTGGCTTCCCGAGCTGTTGAGGCGGCTACTCGCGCTGCACAGGCCAGGCAAGTGAGGTCTTAGAGAGATGCCGAGGCCATGGGAGTTGTGGTGAAGCACATGGCGGACATGGGGCTGGATTTGCAGCATCGAGTTGAATACCTTGAAGAAGATATTAGGGAGAGGACACAGATCTTTTCCCAAGGCATCGAGGATGCTAAGAAGAAGGCCGTCGACGAATACATCGCCTCGTCACGCTTTGATGACCTGACGGTGGGCTCGTACAGAAGGGACTTTAAACTGAGCCGGTGGATGATCCGGAATACATACCCCGAGCTCGATATTAGCGCCATAGCCACTTCGCGCATTACTCAGGAGACGGCCAATGTTGCTGATGGGGAGCCGGATTCTAAGGACGAGGCAGGACCTTCGGGTATCGTTGAAGTGCCTTCGGATGGTGAAGAAGTACTTCCAGGCCTGTGAGCTCGCTTCTTTTTTTTTTTTTTGGAAATGTACACAAAGTATTTTGCAATGAAATGATTCTTTTGGTTAAGTGGTCACTTTTTCCTCTGAACTGGCCGTATTGCCGAACTAACCATATGTCGATGCCTTTATTAGTTCATTGCCAGCGTTTTGCTTGAGCTTTTAGTTGGCATTTTTTGCCTTTGCTTGCCCTTGCCGAGGTCCTTGTTAGCTCGCCATCCTAGCCCTTAGGCTCTGGTAGCGACTTAGTCCACTTCGCTTGGTGGTCTTATAGGTAGTATCGTCTCAAGTTAACGATGGTCCACGCTCGGGGTACCTATTTGCCCTCTAATGTTTCAAGCTCGTATGCCCCCCGAGCGCTCTCTTTACTCTGTAGGGCCCTTCCTAGTTCGGTCCAAGTTTGCCTATGCCGGGCTCTGGAGTCATGATCTTACGGAGAACCAGATCGCCAACGCGGAAGTTCCACTTTCTTACTCTGGCATTGTAGTACCGAGCTACTTTTTGCTGGTAAGCTGCGATCCAGATGTACGCGAGGTCTCTTACCTCGTCCAATAGGTCGAGGTTGATACGTAACTCGTCTCCGTTTGTCTGATCGTCATA